TTCTGTGAAAGTGTAGTGCAAGGAGCAAAATCTACCTGCCTTTATTAAGGCTACCTGGAAAGAATCCCTTTGTTTCCTCTTAATCATTGACCTAATCCCCGGCTTAAGCATAGAGGCCGTCGGCATCTTTGTTACAGGTACCTGTGCCGGGGTTATGCCCAGGTAAGTCCCACTTTTACTTATTTATCAGATATTTGCATTACTTTAGAATACATTTCTTTAAAATTGCGACTCCCGACAAACAATATACCAGACAGACAAATATACCAAAAGACACGAACTACCCCGTAAGGGGGCATCCCCACACGACTAACACGTACACACCCTCACACACACACACACACACACACACACACACACACGCACACGCACAAAATGTCGGACTCCGAAAACGAGGAGAACATATACATGGACGATACAGACAGCGAAAGACCCTCTTCAAGGATCTCCGCTTCACCAAAAAACATGACCACTAAAACAGATTTATACGAACAGCTACTAACACAAAAACATGAAAATGAGACGCTAGAACAACAAATACACGAAATCACAGAACAGAACACCCGACAATACCAACAAATACTAACCATGACACAGCAAATCGTCGATTTGCAAAAAACAATTAAACTTTCGGACGAAAACACCACTAAATTACACCAAAAACTTGACAAACTCATTAACAAACAAATGACAGACAATATACCCCAGACAGGCACACACACACACCCCCCACACACACACCCCGCACACACACGGACAGACAAACGCAAAAAACACACGGCAGAATCCTCTAGCGAGGACGAAGCCCCAAGACACAAAAAATCAGACAAAACAAACAAAACACGAACACAAACACCAAACACGCGCCCCCCGACACCTAAACCCTCCACAAGCGCCCTACAAAACACCCCACAAAACACACAAAAACAGACAGACAAAACCAAACAAGTCCCCCCTGTAATCTTGCGAAAGCAAAAACGGTGGATGCAAGTACAAAAAATACTCACAACACTTAACATTAACTACACAAAAGCCAAACTCACTAAAGACGTTATAGCCATATACCCAAACACATCTAAAGACCACAGACTATTGACAAAGACACTGACAGACAAAGACGAGGAGTACCACACCACCCTCAGCGAAGAAAAAACGCTGAGGGTGGTGATACGCGGAATACCTGCGGGTGTTTCGCCAAGTGAGGTCCAACTCGACCTCGCAAGACAAGGGTTCCCCGGCGCAATAGTGCACCGCATGGCGAGCCGTCAAAATAAACAGGAAATGCCCCTGGTCCTAGTTCAGGCCCCACAGGACCAGGAGGACATCCTGAAGGTAACCCGCTGCTGCTCGCTCGTGGTTCGAGTAGAGCTGCAGCGAAAGCAGCGGGTTGCCACACAGTGCCACCGGTGCCAGCGGTTCGGCCACGGCCAGACCCGGTGCACAGCTGAGCCAAAGTGCGTAAAATGTGGCGAAAACCACAGCACGCACGTATGCAAAAAGGCCAAAGACACGCCCGCCAGGTGTGCAAATTGCGCCGGGCCACACCCCGCCAGCTATATGGGGTGCCCTCAGTACCCCAAAGCTAAAAACACAAAAACACAAAACACAGACACACACACGACACAAAACACTACACAAACACACAGACAGCCCCTCCTACCCACCCCAAACACAACCCCAGGACGCACATACGCTGACATGACCAGAAAAACACAAAACACACAAAAACAAAAACACAACACCTCACCACACGCACACACAGACACGACACCCTCCCAACCGGGCGCGGCGGCCCTGATTGACGCAACAAAGCGTCTTCAGGACTTCTGCGTCCAGCTGACGACCATGGTGTCGAATATGCAAAAATTATTCGACTTCTAATGGCTCGTCGGCCCTCCCAACCCTCCTCGCTGAGAATTTCGTCCTGGAACCTTGACGGGTTCCGGGCCAAAAAAACGGAACTCGTGGACATCTTGAACCGTCTAAACATAGACGTTATGGCTGTCCAGGAGACCTACCTCAGCGAGGCATCCCGTACCTCCATCCCTGACTATGACATATACAGACATGACAGAAACCGTAACGGGGGTGGTGTTGCACTCATAGTAAAGAAGTGCATCGACNAGACGGAATATCTAGGATCTACGGATTGGGATGTGATTGTCAGGTCGTCGGCGTATAAGTATATGTTGGTGTTGGGGGGATGTGGGATGTCGGAGTTGTAAATGGTGTATAGGTGTGGGGACAGGACGGTGCCCTGGGGGACACCGGCCTCCATGGGACGGGTGGTGGAAAGGGAATCTTGGATTTGGATGCGGAATTTTCGGTGGTGTAGGTAGGATTTTATGAGTTTGGTAAAGGATATGGGATATTGGTTGGTGAGCATTTTCATCAGTAAGCCTTCATGCCAAACTGTATCGAAGGCCTTTGCGACGTCCAGGAAGACAGCACCAATGTACTGTCCCCTGTTGAAAGCCGCCGTGATGTGCTCGGTAAGGCGAAGGATTTGGAGTTCAGTGGAGTGATTGGGTCGGAAGGCGAACTGCTCATCTGTAATGACTTGCAGTTCTTGGGAGTGGGTTCTTAGACGGGTTAGGATAATTTTTTCTACCACTTTGCTCATAGCCGGGAGCAGGCTAATGGGCCGGTAGTTGGATGGGATGGTGTGATCTTTGTTGGGTTTTGGGATAAGGATTATGTTTGCTGTTTTCCAGCGGGTAGGGAAGTGTCTTAGTCTGAGTGTCGCGTTTGTTATGTTTAGTAGGGCCATGAGGCCCTTGTGTGGTAGTCGTTTAAGTGTCGTGTTATGTATATTGTCGGGTCCGGGGGCTTTTCTGTTTTTAAGTCTGCGTATTGTCAGTCTTAGTTCGTCAGGTGTTGCGGGGGGGATTATGTCATTGTCTGGCTCTCTGTCGACGCGTCGGGCCGCGCGCTCAGCCACTATCTCGAATTCCTCGTCTTCGTCGGGCAGCTGAGGCAGTCTACACTGCAGTTCCAGGCTATCGGCGAAAGCCTCGGCCTTTTCCTGGTTCGTGTAAACCACCCCCACACTACCGTGGATTGGAGGAATTTTACGGCGAGCGGTCTGTCGCAGGGCCCTCTGCGTTTTCCAGAGGCTGTTGTCTTGTGGATCCAGCGACTCCAGGTGCCTAGCCCAGTTATCCTGGGCCAGTTCATCCAGAGCCGCCTTCACCCGTCTGTTAAGTACGTTTAAGTCATGTCTGTGTCGGGGGAGGCGGGTGCGGGTGGCAAGCCGTTTCGCACGTCGTCTGTCACGTATTAAGTTTTTTATGTCATCGGGGAGGGTGCCCCGGGGGTTTGTCAGTCGGGGGACAATGTCTCCGTCGTAGTCTGAGTCAGGGCGTTTTTAATGTCAGTCTCAAGGGAGAGGATTGCCGCCTCCAGATCATGGGTGGTTTCGATGACTGAGAGCGCCATGTTTCCTTGCATTACTGTTCGGAAACGCTCCCAGTCAGTAAACCTCCTCGTGAAGGTGCCTTCATATCTCTGTCTTCGCCCCAGATCCAGAAATATTGGATTGTGGGCGTAAGACCCTTCGTATTGGGTAGATATTTGGGCATTTAACGGTATAGATTTTAAGAGGGCAATGTCGATAACGTCGGGGCGTCCTACGGGTCCGTAATGTGTTGGTTCTGTCGGTCCGAGTATCGTCAAGTCGTCGTGTCTGTCTTTGTAATTCAGCAGGACGCGACCTCTTGTGGTCGTCGTCCCGCTGTGCCATATGGGGGACTTCGCGTTGAAGTCCCCAGCGCCTACACCGGCCGCATTTGCGGTCGGGGTAGACGACGGATGGGGCCCACCTACGAAGGCTGTCCAGGCCTACATGAGATTAGGCAGGATAAAGAGGGATAATCCCCCTCGATCCCAAATCATAGAGGCCAATTTCTAGCCATGGAATAATGGCGCGGACGGGTCCAGTAGTATATGCTCGAAGGACGCAATCGCATTTGATTCAAAACCGTGAATTTTGAACCTTATGAATGCGCATACTTCTGACTCTGACTGTTTTGGATTGCTCTAGGAACTAGGAACGAAGCAAGTCCATTATATGGCGCTGTTATATTATCTTTTGCAAATGTAGTAGTAATGGTGCACTGTTGTGCAAATAAGTTGAATTTATGCACAGAATACAGCTATAGAATACAGAACACAGTAGCAGTACCTATAGAAAGACTGACTGGAACGATCATTTTATTTTCAAATCTAAAACCGATTTTACAATAATGCGTTTCTAATTTTAACAAATAAAATATATGGTTGCTGCTGTATAAAATAAGTGACTTCAAATTAAAATTCAGTGTACTTAGATTTCAATTTTTTAACCAATATAACGGCTCTTACATACGGATGGTATTTTACCGATCGCCATTTAAACCGATTGGCAAAATATCCGACAAAATTTTTAATTTACACATTAGTTAAATACATCGTTACACACAAAGTCATTGCCGGAAAGTTTGATGGCCGGCTGCCGATCGGTAAAACAACGCTCGTGTGTAAGAGGGTTTACACATTATATGTATATATTATATATTTTGTGGTTTACACTACGACTTTGTGTGTAAAGATCACATATCGTAAAGATGTATTTAACTATGTGTATTTAAAATTTTGTCAGTTATTTTGCCGATAGGTATAAATGCCGATCGGCAAAATACCGCCCGTGTGCAAAAGCCGTAAAAGTAAAGTCGAATCTGTTTCTTTACTTTATTGGACTTTGAAAAGACAGCGAATAATGAGCTCCTTTCTCCATTTACTTATTAGCATGTAGATTTTATGTATTTTAAAACATTCTAAACACATTCTAAGTTGGTCATAATCCATGAATTTTAGGTAACTGGATTTAAATAATATATTTTTTGTTTTTTATACTGCATACAAAAAGAATTATAAACAGACTGATAGATGTCTCTGTTGCTATTAATCTTACACTTCCCTGCGTTATCATCACCTGTACTGTAATGTAAATCACGTTGCAGTTTAGAAGTGTTGTACGTCACTGTAGTATTAATTTTTTACGATTTCGTCTAATAAGTCAAAATTTTTGCGTTGTCGTGGCCCCTAATGATTCAAAGCGGATCGTCTAAAATGTGTTAGGTTGTGTAAGATTGACTAGTGTGTTCTGCTCTCGCTTGTCGTTTGTTTATTCAGGTAAGCAATCAATTTTGTTTATTATGAAAATAATCGATAGTGTACAACCTTGAAAAGTGATAATTTAATGGAAACAGACAAATTTAAAATAATAGATTTACATATATGTTGGGATATTGTGTAAAAATATCCTATTTGTATAGTTTTAGGTTAGGTGTAGCTATAGACGACTTTTATGTCTGCTTACGAGGCATGTTCTTCGTTCAACAACGAATTAAAAAGGTTTTAATTATAATTGTGAATAATATTTTCTATTTCGAAGGCTTCTTAAACAATTGACTTCTTAAATTGGGGTTAACTGATTTGTATTCGTTAAAGGACAAAATAATAAGTTGTAAAAATAACTTCGCTGTGAGCATTAAAAATTGCTGCTTGTGTTTCATGAACACATAATTTTAATAAATTTTGCCGTCAAAATACGTAATTATTATTATCTTTATGATCACTTTTAATTAAAAATTTGGGGAAGATTTTACCTAAATGGAAAAATTTATTTATATGAAGAATAGGTATAGGTACTAAAAACTATTCACGGAATATTAGACATAAACACTAAAAAATGTGTTATTAAATGTGCATTTTTTGCCTCCGTTTAATATTATCATATCAAGAAATAATTAAAATCAGTGATTAAAATTGCTAAGCAATATTTAATAATTTCATAAAAGTGTTAATTAGACTTGTTACGGGATGTTTTACCTAACCACAAAGATTATACCTATATAATGTTCTAAAGTCACCTAAAGAAACGTTCATAAATTTTTATATATTTTGAGATAAACGTTATCGTATTCTTCAATTGACATTTTAATTGGGATTAAGTATATTTAATGATGCTTCATACATTTAATATGCTTACCGTCGACAGAAGCTAATATAAAATCATAGAACATCGGAATAACTGATATACTTAGGCATTGCTTTTTATATGGATATAATTTTGAAGTTGTAAATAGTGTAAGCCGTAAGCAGAAGAAACTTTTATGGAAAATAACCTATCCTTCTTTTTTCAAAGTTTAAATGAATATGTAGAGGTATATGGTAGATACTATAAAATTTCTTTTACAGACTTACATAATCTTATTAAAGTATAGCTTTTAACTTGCAAGAAGATTTCCTAAAACATTTAGTCCTTAGGTACCAGTTTTTTTTAGTAAGACCAAAAAAGAAAAAAGTTTGGAATAGGTACGTGACGGTACAACTTTAAGGTTTACTTAACTTTTTTAATGTAGCAAAGTGATCCAGAATTATGTTTTTATTGCCATTTACTCATTGGTCCTTTAAACAAGACCTCCTGCACCATGAAACGAAATATTTGCGCAATACCCGCAGACATTGTAGGTATAAACTCAGTCCCTTTATTTTAATTTAATACAAAAAGATGCGCGCCACCACAACCTCCCTCAGTTATTATCGTATACTTTGGGTACCACTAATTAATTACAAACTATTTACGATTATGATAATGATGACACAATTTTATAATTAATAAATAAGATTTACAGTTGAGACAGTATGTATTTGGCGATAAGTTAGCATAGATTTGACAGTATAGGTACTATGGATGGAGCCAAAAGCGACTTTCTGTACATTGTAGCTGTTCCAATGTGAACTGCACAAAACGGCAGTGATTTGCCCTAAATCACGTGACCTATATCATATATATAGGATACAAATCGCGCGGCATTGATTTTAAAAGAAACTAGGTATTATAAAATTAGCTCTTTTGGGTAGTTACACAATTTAAAAAAAAATTCAAATCTATAGGTATGTAAAATACGTAATAACACTTAACACCATGTAATGGATATAACAAATCACGCATGCTAACTGCAAATTTCCCTAGTCACGTGACGCGAGACTAGTTTCATCTTGGCCCCTTACCTCTCTCTCTCTCTACATTCCATGTATAGCATACTGTCAAATCAAATCTATAGTTAGCCTTTAAAAACACTTGATATTCTCGATTCTTTACTTTAAAAAAAATTTTTCGTTCAAGTACCGATCGATCAAATCGCTATAAAAAGAGTTATGTATTGTTTTAAGTAAGTAATCTTATTTAAGCCTAATTTTTGTAATATAAAATTCTAACAGGTGCATCACGAAGGAAGAACAAAGAAAAAGATGATGAAAATTGTTAGCAAGCACAAATAAATACTATTTTAGAAGATGGAAAATCCTCGGGAGAATCCCAAAAAGATGAAATTTGATCATAAAGATGAGGAAAAGATGAAATTTGATCATAAAGATGAAGAAAAGGCAATTCTGTATCCTGTCTTGGCAGATGATCTAGTGGAGGATACTCCATTGACTGAAGTATATGTTGGCACCATATCAAACCAAAAAGACATATCAAAGGTGATTATCGAACTGAATTCCATAACGCCTATTCCTGAACTCATGCACTTGAAAAGGATAAAAGGAAAAGATATTCTTCTTTTTCCTGTATGTAATATAGAAAAAAATCAAATATTCTCTCTCTTACAGAGTAAAAACTTCGATATCTCAAAATTGGAGAACACAATCAAAACTTCCATGGTGGCGAAAATACCACCAAAAATTCGTAGGCAGTATGACAAAGTCCACAAAGTTTGGCCCTGTAACTTTCACAGCAACAAATATTTGGAGAAACTGAGCACTAATACACTATTTTCATCTAAAGAACTTCAGGAGTTTGAGGGGTACATGCGTCTGGCGATAGACGTTGCATTGTACGCCAGGGAACACTATTTTGACGAACCTCAAGTAGGGGCGATTGTAGTAGATACTAAAATAAAATCGGTGGTAGCAGCAAGCTACCGTCAAACCAACGAAGGCCCATGCCGTCACGCCGCTATGGTTGCAGTCGATAATGTAGCCAAAACTCAAAATGGGGGTGCCTGGAATATTGACGAAATTACTAATAAAGACGGTGAATTAAACACGAATGGATTCAAGGAAGAACTGTTAAATTTTCTTAAGAAAAAATATAATACTTTACGTTTTGGTGCTTCTTGGTTCAAAGGGAAGTCGGACTTATTGGAGCCTTCAGATGGACCATACCTGTGTACGGGTTACTACGTGTTTCTGACTCACGAACCTTGTGCAATGTGCGCGATGGGACTAATTCATAGTAGAGCGAAAAGGGTTTTTTTCGGTGCTAGGACATCTAATGGCGCTTTAACAACTTCTTGTAAAATTCATACAGTGAAAGACTTAAATCATCATTATGAGGTGTTTGGCGGCTTGTTAGAAAAACAGTGTTTACAGTTGTGATAAGATTAGAATGTGATTAATTTTAAGATGTAGGGTGTAGTGCATTACATGGAGTAAAGCTTATACAGATAGCATCATTGTTAGCAGAATTTGTTATTTTCATATTGCAATATGAAAATACGAATTGGTATATTTGGTCAGAATTTTTTACCCTTGATATTCATTTAAATTGTAAATCGTTGGTAATATTTTTCCGAGCGTTTTTGAATTAAGTTGTATTTGCAACATTAGACATATACTTTACACTGCTTTGATTCGCAAAATGAAAAATTTGGTGCAAAAACGGGCAAATCGATTTTATCTTTTTTATTTCCACAGATCTGCCAATTGCACGTATCACTTACACTCGATTCTTCCGATTTATAAACTTTTTTCGTTTTCGTCTCCGTTCCTAGAAAATTTACCTATTTCCATTTATCAATAATAATTGTTCCCCTTCATCAGCTACTAAGGGGAACCAGTAAATATGTAGCTTATAAATCAATGGGAGAATGGAGAAAACCTCACCGTGGGCAACAACAACGAAAAAGTGCATAAATCGGCCTTCCTAAAGTCCAGGGAGTCTATACACGACCATTTATCAATTTCCGCCCGTCAATTACGAATATGATCAGATTGTACACGGTGTCCCATTTTAAATAACGCATTGCCATAAGATATTAATGTAGGCAATCGGTACAAGATTGCCGGCAAAAATTGAAAGAAGTCTGGGAGATATTCAGTCATTGCATCAATGTATGCAATATTTTGGTGAGGGTTGCATCTGCTATTTGGATGTAAAATATCCCGCCCGCCCCTTAATTTCAAAGCCGGCTATAAAGAGAAAAACAAATAGCTAATGCAAGCTTTCAATCATAAACACAAAAGGCTTTTTTCGCGACTGAATAGTAGTGTAACTTGTAGTTACTATTTCTATCTCTTTTGACATATGGTAGCTTAAATATCTTCATTCACTCGTATTACATATCCTACAACATACGACGTCACTCGCAAAAAAAGGCTAAAGAGTTAAACATTACTTTGCGGGAATCTTTCCGAGGCTCACAAGAATCCTGTCGTGAATATGCATAGTTACAAGTGTTTACTTTTTCGGTTAACAACTGTAAAAGTAGCCCTCTTGTCTTACCATTGTTATTCAAAAATGACCAGCAGTGTATATGTATTTACTTACTAACTTTAAAAAAATGAACTTATCGGTTTATTGCACGTTGGAAATAGGAAATGACCAATAAAGCTTTTTATGCATGTATTAAGTATCATTATATCATATACATATTAAACTTGTTTCTCTTAAAAAGAATATATGACTCACATAAATTTCTGAATTCATTTCTAAGAGTTGGTGACTTATAAGACACCTTGTACATACATATATTAGATTTTACGTTACATTTAATCTTAAAACTTATATAGGTACTATATTTGTTTATTCTTCAATCAATAAATTTCCATTACCTACTAGATATTTGGTATAATTGTTATAAAAACAAAATGACGTATATCAATCTTACACTATAATTTAAAATATTAATGTTAAATTTTAGGCGTATCACAAGTATTAAAGAACAACGTGGTAAAATAGACAAATATTGAATGTTGTAAAAAATGGGATACTTTTCGTTTTAATGACAATGATGTGTAACATCTGAGTTAGTAAATGCCAAGTAACATAACACGTAGCTGGCTTGGAGTAAAACCAATGAAGAAACCTTAAAAGTAATTTAGTGTAGAAACTCGAGTAATATTGAGCAATATTTGAGTATTAAAACGATTATTTACGTCAAATATACGATGCGCGCTTGCGTCATCTTCCATCATAATTTTCCTGAATAATTGATTATGGAAGTAAATATTTTAATGTACAAATCTTGGTCAGTGGTTTCCCGTTCGGTAAAACCAAATGAAAAAGCTTAATTTTGTTTATACATAATTTTATCTTATTGGAACTAATCCTTACATAATAAAACACGTCTAGACATAGTTAGGTGTTTTATTTTTCTCTTCATTTTTCAAAACGCAATGTAAGTAACGTCGACGTCTATAAACTTATAATTCACCAGTGTGCCTTGTTTCACAAAAGCTACATATTCACCAGTAAATTTGAACAAACGCGAAAATGATTAAACGTTTCATAAAGAATATAGATTCAAGACCAGTGAATTTTCACAAGTTCATAGTACATTTTTTACAAATTTACTCTTTAACTTTCAGCATAATAAGTTTACGTAAACAAAGTTCTTGATCATTTTTCGGGTCATTTTCACTCCTAGCGAAGAGTGGTACAATAGCTTTCATTGTAATTTCCATTTGTCACAATTCAAAATTTTTATGCTGCATTGACCATCTGATGAACATCCATACAACAAAATATCGAGATAATAAAATATTTGAAAAAAATTATAAACGGAAGCTAAACAAATGTTTAATTTCATTGTTGTAGCCAGAACGATGAAAATATTATAACTCACTTGTAATTGTTAAATTGTAAATTTCTATTTTGTAACTGTAACATCCCACACCTGAAGTCGCAGCAAACGACTTGCAAAGAGCCCGACGCTGTGAGAAGAGCCATCATTAGCGACTCTAGCGGGACCCCTCCCCTAAAATTTCACTCCATTTTCGAGCCAAGGGCTTAAAAAATCGACTGGGGACACAAGACCGATTTGCCTTACAAGCCAACAGCCATGAATCGCCTAAAGCTAAGGACAACTGATGTCAAAATCCTTACCAAAAAAACGGGATCGAATGTCTACTCTGGTATAGTATATTCTGTAACCAGAGCAAATGTCTGAACAGTGTGTGTACACGACCTGAATTTAAGCGCCTTTATTGCCTTTCGATACTTGGAAGCATTTCTTGCTTATTTAGAGGGAAATAAGTCGCAAAAATACAGGACGGTCCCAAAAACATTAAATACCTAATACATTGTTTTCAATTAACAATTACCAATTCATCTACATTGGTGACACCATTAAAAAATAACGAGTACTAATAGTACTAGATGTGTATACTAATTTTGAAAACTCAATATGCCATGTTCCAATTTGAAAACCATACCTATGTGTAATGAATATTTCTTAGAAAAATACGTGGATGAATTATAACGTGACGTTAAATGTGAATTAATTTTTATTTAAAAAATAATTTTACAGAAACATACGAGGTCTGTTCAGAAAATAATCGAACTTTATTTTTTTATACTTTATTATTAATTTTATATATTATTGGTCCTTGTTTCTCATCCTCTATTCACACTTTTCAAAGCGGTGTTTCTATTTCGCGAAGCAGTTTTGAATAACTTTTTTTTAAATGGCTTTCAAAGTCTGTGACGAATTTGCTTTAATGTGACCAATACTCTGAAAACACCACCCTTTCAGCACTGGCGAGTAAGGAGGGTGAGAATTAAGATGCTAACCTCTTCTGTAATTTCTTTGACAGCCAATCAACAATTTGCATGCACCAGATCTTTGACTTTCTGAACTTGGGAATCATCAGTTGAAGTCAAAGGTCCTCTGATCGAGGATCATCTTCAATTGACTGAGTCACTTTAATATTGTGTAAACCATTCGCAACATTGTGTACGAGCATCATCTCCGTAAGCTTGTTTCAAAAGTTGAAACGTTTCCGTGAAAATTTTCCCAAATTTTACGTTGCATTATTGCACATTTCAAATTCGTCACTAACACTTAAACACCTTATACTCAAACCCCATTACAGCGTAATTAAAAAAGTTTGATTATTTTCTAGATAGACCTCGTACATTTATAAATTCCCGGTAATCGCGTTTCAGAAAATATGAAAACAGATAAAAAACCTGTCTTGAAAATCTAACGGCACACGCATCCTAGAGGATATAAATTTGAAACGTAGAAACTATAGAACTGATTCAATATTACATTTATTAATTATTTCAAATTAAATAACAGGGCAAGTAGGGCATTAAACGTTGAAATCCTTATGGGTATTATAGGATAATAACGTCCTCTATCAATTACCTCCCTCGATTCAGAGGCCCTTAAAAAGTATATAGTCGATCTCGACGCATTATTGTCTCTATATTATACCCTGGATATCTTGATTTCCTTTACTGTTGTCCTGCTGACGATTTTAATTACATTAGTAAATTTTTATTTGCTGTTTTTTTAAATTATTACAATCAAATTTAAACCCAGGGGGACTAAAATTGATACAATTTCCTGAAATTAGGGAATAAAACAACACTTTGAATATGTAAAAGTGAATGCGTCTTCATCACTGCTCGATTGCTGCATTAGAAAAGAATCTTTCACAATAAGAAAAGACAGCTATGCTAAAGAAACATCCAACCTTGCTTATAAAAGAGATTCTTAATAGAGCTGTTGGAATGCCAACTTAGTACATTTAAAAGAATCTACCCAATTTCAATTTAACCATTAGCAATACAAATTTGTGCTTCTTTTAACAAAGGCACGTTCAACTTTTTAAGATTCCTCTACCTCAGGCGGAGTAAACAGATTCCCGACCTTCAACCGGTCCCGAAAATAGTCCATCTTCCAATTTTTGTTGCCAAAATGATATAACATCCTTTACATCCGTCTACGTCACTGTCGGGATATTTTCGATTTTAGCATAGTTGGAACGTCACTAATGACCGCCCCAAGTGTGATATATATGTCGACGAAGATGCCTATCGACCACAGTACTCCACACTCCACATAACATTGTTTGCACTGTTCCGTAAAAATACTCGTATCAGATATTTGTAATGCTGTTTGTTTGTCGAATAAACATTATATAAATGTACTGGTTTCCAATTTATTCTAGCCTACCTCTGTTCAAAAAGTAAGTGTTCGCTTATTCTGGTTGGAAAGTGCTTTATCATTGCCATGAAAACAAATAGAAATATACAGTTTACTTGTAGTTCCAAGGAAGATAGGATTTTATTTTTATTTTCGAATTCAAGGAATTTTGCCTAAAATCTCAGACGCTCATATGGAGATGTGGTAATTTAACAATTTGGCTCATCAGTTGCGTCTACGATATAAAGTAGGGTGTAGAAACTTTATA